TACATAACTAACTGGACAACACTACTGAACAATGTACACAACTAACTGGACAACACTACTGAACAATGTACACAACTAACTGGACAACACTACTGAACAATGTACATAACTAACTGGACAACACTACTGAACAATGTACACAACTAACTGGACATCACTACTGAACAATGTACACAACTAACTGGACATCACTACTGAACAATGTACACAACTAACTGGACAACACTACTGAACAATGTACACAACTAACTGGACAACACTACTGAACAATGTACACAACTAACTGGACAACACTACTGAACAATGTACACAACTAACTGGACAACACTACTGAACAATGTACACAACTAACTGGACATCACTACTGAACAATGTACACAACTAACTGGACATCACTACTGAACAATGTACACAACTAACTGGACAACACTACAGAATAATGTACACAACTAACTGGACAACACTACTGAACAATGTACACAACTAACTGGACAACACTACTGAACAATGTACACAACTAACTGGACATCACTACTGAACAATGTACACAACTAAACTGGACAACACTATGAAACAATGTACACAACTAACTGGACAACACTACTGAACAATGTACACAACTAACTGGACAACACTACTGAACAATGTACACAACTAACTGGACATCACTACTGAACAATGTACACAACTAACTGGACATCACTACTGAACAATGTACACAACTAACTGGACAACACTACTGAACAATGTACACAACTAACTGGACAACACTACTGAACAATGTACACAACTAACTGGGCAATACTACTGAACAATGTACACAACTAACTGGACAACACTACTGAACAATGTACACAACTAACTGGACAACACTACTGAACAATGTACACAACTAACTGGACAACACTACTGAACAATGTACACAACTAACTGGGCAATACTACTGAACAATGTACACAACTAACTGGACAACACTACTGAACAATGTACACAACTAACTGGACAACGCTACTGAACAATGTACACAACTAACTGGACAACACTACTGAACAATGTATACAACTAACTGGACAACGCTACTGAACAGTTTTAACAAACTTAATATTTTCCCTGAATATAATTATATAATTAGGTAAAATTCAAAGTAATCTTCTTGAACTTACTAAAGGAAGAAGTTAAGATGTAGAGAATATTCCACTTTCCGGTTCCCAGGTGAGTGAGCAGCGTGTCAAAACTGTCGCCCATATCTGCAACCACACACAACATTATTTTAGATATTATTATTATTATTATTATTATTATTATTATTATTATTATTATTACTTCAATTAATATATTGTTAATTAATACTTTTAATATTATTATTAGTAGTAGTAGTATAAGTAGTAGTAATATTATCTTTGTTGTTGTTATTATTATTATTATTATTATTATTATTATTATTATTATTATTATTATTATTATTATTATTATTATTATTGACACACCTTCTTCTTCGTACACATTTTCTTCTTCGTACACTTTTTTCTTCTTCGTACACATTTTCTTCTTCGTACACATTTTCTTCTTCGTACACATTTTTCTTCTTCGTACACATTTTTCTTCTTCGTACACATTTCCTTCTTCGTACACATTTTCTTCTTCGTACACATTTTTCTTCTTCGTACACATTTTTCTTCTTCGTACACATTTTTCTTCTTCGTACACATTTTCTTCTTCGTACACATTTTTCTTCTTCGTACACATTTTCTTCTCAAAAAGCCTCTTTGAATTGACCTCCAACTTATAACTCTTGTTAATTTAAGTATAACAATATTAAGGATTGTTGTTACGTATTATGACAATACATTTGTTTATTTTAAGCAACTATTTACGTTGATTATCTCCTGGGACAGCCAAAGCATTTACATATCTATACTAAATTCACTTCACTCGTTCATAAATCTCATAACGTTTAACTTAAGCGTAACACTGACAGTGTCGAAGAGAGTTTATTGAAACGTTTCTTATGAACATTTTATTCACGTTTTTGTATAGTGACTTTCATTTGGACACATGAAGAAAAACCCATCGTTGCCTAGGCATATTTCATGTCTTGGAAGATAAGCTATAAATATAAAAATAATGTTAATAGCAAAATAACGTTTTGCAATGATTTAAAAGTTTCCTTCCCGGCAGCCGCCATGTTGGAAGGAGGTTATTATGTCCCCGCGCCGGCCTTGTTGGGAGGCAGGAGTGGTTAATTTGGGCCTAGGCACAAATTTTATCAGGAGTTAGGTACGGGGAACTAACGCCCCCACACCAGCCTTGTTAGGAGGTAGGTGTGCAGGATTCATGTCACCTTTGTCTACCTTATTTAGAGGCGGGTACTAAAGACTCGCGCACCTCATACCCATCTTATCAAGTGCAATTCCTTCCTCCTTACCCTTGTTGTTAAGAGGTGAGTGTAGAGGATTCACGCACTTTGACCCGCCATCCAGGAGGTTAGTGTGAGGGATTCACACCCTGGTACCCTCCTTTCAGGAGGTTAGTGTGAGGGATTCACACCCTGGTACCCTCCTTTCAGGAGGTTAGTGTGAGGGACTCACACCCTGGTACCCTCCTTTCAAGAGGTTAATGTGAAGGACTCACACCCTGGTACTCTCTTTTCAGGAGGTTAGTGTGAAGGACTCACACTCTGGTACCTTCCTTCCAGGAGGTTAGTGTGAGGGACTTACACCCTGGTACTCTCCTTTCAGGAGGCTAGTGTGAGGGATTCACACCCTGGTACCCTCCTTTCAGGAGGTTAGTGTGAGGGATTCACACCCTGGTACCCTCCTTTCAGGAGGTTAGTGTGAGGGACTCACACCCTGGTACCCTCCTTTCAGGAGGTTAGTGTGAGGGACTCACACCCTGGTACCCTCCTTTCAGGAGGTTAGTGTGAGGGACTCACACCCTGGTACCCTCCTTTCAAGAGGTTAATGTGAAGGACTCACACCCTGGTACTCTCTTTTCAGGAGGTTAGTGTGAAGGACTCACACTCTGGTACCCTCCTTTCAGGAGGCTAGTGTGAGGGACTCACACCCTGGTACCCTCCTTTCAGTAGGCTAGTGTGAGGAACTCACACCCTGGTACCCTCCTTTCAGGAGGTTAGTGTGAGGGACTCACACCCTGGTACCCTCCTTTCAAGAGGTTAATGTGAAGGACTCACACCCTGGTACTCTCTTTTCAGGAGGTTAGTGTGAAGGACTCACACTCTGGTACCTTCCTTCCAGGAGGTTAGTGTGAGGGACTTACACCCTGGTACTCTCCTTTCAGGAGGCTAGTGTGAGGGACTCACACCCTCCATACCCACCATATCAGAAGGCGATGTATGTTTCTTAATTTTAGGTTCCAGAACTTAATATAACTTCTCTTAATTGGGCTGATATTTTTTTAATGAAAAAAAAAATATGAAATTAAACAAATGCTTCCAAGTGGTGCCGCACCAGATTAATTTTTAAAACGTCATATATGTTATGAAAATCAACAATAAGAGACCCTTGAAATTTTGCGTCACTCAACATAACGCAACCAAATAACTGTCTCCAGCTAGGTGTGACGCGACCTCTCCTGCTAATAACTGTCTCCAGCTAGGTGTGACGCGACCTCTCCTGCTAATAACTGTCTCCAGCTAGGTGTGACGCGACCTCTCCTGCTAATAAAATGTCTCCAGCTAGGTGTGACGCGACCTCTCCTGCTAATAACTGTGTCCAGCTAGGTGTGACGCGACCTCTCCTGCTAATAACTGTCCAGCTAGGTGTGACGCGACCTCTCCTGCTAATAACTGTCTCCAGCTAGGTGTGACGCGACCTCTCCTGCTAATAACTGTCTCCAGCTAGGTGTGACGCGACCTCTCCTGCTAATAACTGTCTCCAGCTAGGTGTGACGCGACCTCTCCTGCTAATAACTGTCTCCAGCTAGGTGTGACGCGACCTCTCCTGCTAATAACTGTCTCCAGCTAGGTGTGACGCGACCTCTCCTGCTTATAACTGTGTCCAGCTAGGTGTGACGCGACCTCTCCTGCTAATAACTTTGTCCAGCTAGGTGTGACGCGACCTCTCCTGCTAATAACTGTGTCCAGCTAGGTGTGACGCGACCTCTCCTGCTAATTTAATCTAATAGAATGTTGTATAGCCTAGGTTTGGTGAGGTAAAATTCGTCAGGAGAAAGGAAATTTATTTCCATATTACGATCTTAGTCATATGAATAAGTAAGTAAGTTTATTCAGGTATACACAAATATAGTTACATAGATTATCATACATAGCAGCATATGTGTAGAGAACCTGGGATAATCCAAAAAAGTCAGAGAGAGTGACTTCCATTGGGGTGCTTGGAGCTTATAGTCATGTGACCGAGGCCTTCCACTGGCTTGAAATTCAAATATTATTTAATGCAATACAGCATAAAGCCGCCTTTTGAATGCGACAAAGATTGGCTACAATAACTTTCAATGGGAATGAGTTATACTGTAGAAGAACGCACAAATCAACAATCTTTACTAATACATATAAAGTGATATACCGTTTAAAAAGACCATGCAAAATAATTATAAATTAGTACTTTATTAATTTCAAATGGGAGATTCTTCGTTAATAATTTCACAATTTCACCATCAAAGATTTTTAAAGACATATACAAATTTGCCTTTGAACAGTAAATATTCGCAGTCTTTTGTCTGCTCTAAAATAAATTATAAAACTAGATGTACTTAGGTCGCTGCGCGATCCGAAACACTTATCCCCTTGTTGCACAACCCCAGCCCACGTACAGCAATCCACGCAAAAATACTGGTGCAGAATGCGACACAATTTTCAAATGCAGTTAAGAATGAGCTTTGAAGATTTGAGGTGAATCATAACTGGTATTCTTAAGTTATAAAATGGTCTCTAATATACCAATTTATTCAATAACAATGGTAAATTAGGATATACACAACTCTAAACTAATTCAAATCTTCCATGTATGTACCTGTATGTACCTCAACATTATATACATACAAGTAATCTTATTGGGAGACAACCATATTGTTTACCGTAGTCACCCCGTGTAGACTGGTCACTACAGGTGGCCCCTCGACCCTCACAATCTTGTCCACATCTATCCGAGACCAGTATGGATTGGATAGCACCCACAAGTACGGTGCTACTAATTAATTGTGGACTGTATAGATTATATTAGGGTAGCTGAATGAAGGGGGGGGGGTAGGTTACACATGGATATATCCATCAAGGAAAACACTTGTACATAATCTCTCCACTTACCAGATATTCTCTGGTGGTCATTTGATGTAGCTGGATCACTCATAACCAATCCAATTACAACATACCTAACTGGCCAGTATCAGTCTGCTATAACTATAAAGGTTACTTAACTGTGGGTGATTGATACTCCTTATTTCCTCCATTCACCATCTCATTTCGATGTCCTGCTACACCGACACGGTTCTTATTCCAGCAGGACGAGGTACCCGTCGGTTTGTCCCGGTTTAAAAGTCGTGCTTCCATAAAGCTTCACTATCCTCGGTACGAGAATCACACATTCACTCGGAGCAGGGCGATGATCTATTTCACATCCCACATTCTCTTAACTCAATGTTATTATCACTGATTACATTACCATTCACAAGACGATTTAACGTCTCATAATTATTATACACATTAGAGTTCACTCCATTAAGATCTGAGGCCGATGAGCGAAGATTAACTCACGGGTATTTCCCCTGGACACACACCATGGCCGCGCACCAGTCACACCCCGGTCGAACCATTATTCACTAATTTTACCACCTTTTTACGGTGGTCCCGTAAATCACGTTCCCTCACTCTTCACAAGGAACAGTTACGACACTTCCTATTATGAAATGAGGCCTATATTAATCCTTAGGCCGCCGTGAATGTCAATTTCCTGGTTCCATGCTGTCCCAGCCTCCTCACCACCTTCAAAACACTCCCGCCTCCCCCATGGCCCGAGTCGACCTATACCCCCGCACATCCGCGCATGCGCAAAGGGAACTCTTGGTTCTACCCTATTGTCAAATACATTTTTGACTCATATCGACACATTAAACACCTATTAGGCGCTATAGCTTCGGAAAATCAAAAATTTTCCACAGACATGGTCCTAAAATACACCAGCCTAGCAAGTAGTCATGTCGTGTCTCAAGTTTGTCTATCTGTCTGTTACTGAGTGTCTTCCAGTACAGATTCAGCGCAGGGATGTCTAATTGGGCATGGAGAGACTCGCTTGTGGCGAAGTCCTCCCATCTGACATCAAGCACCCAGCGCAGCGCCTTGTTCTGGACACGCTGCAGTTTAAGTAAGTTTGTTTTTGCTGCAAGAGAGAGGGCTAGAGGAGAGTAAGTTATCAGAGGACGTATTAGGGATTTGTAGAGGTGTAGTTTGGTGCGTTGAGAGGCATGTTTCAGCTTGTAGAGGCCCGCAAGGGCCTTACTAGCTATTGCATGCTTGAACATAAGAACATAAGAACATAAGAATGGAGGAACACTGCAGAGGCCTACTGGCCCATGCGAGGCAGGTCTTATCAAAACGATCTCTACCTGAAGCTACCAAGAAATAACTCCCGAACCCAATGATACATAAGAACATAGTTAGCAAGAAAACCCACACCTGCCTAGATAAGTGAATCCATCCCTGGCATACATGTCATTTCGGCCATAGAAGTTGTCCCAGTTGTCAATGAATGGTACTGCACCATCCTTACAGT